AAGAAGAAGGTCTTTTTTTATTGTTTATCCAGAAACTTACAACACCCCCCTCCACCCTGAGACGACGGTAATAAGATCCCTTTCATAAAGTATTCCCCTCGCGAAAAGCTCAACGAGACAGATGTCGCCAAAGAAGCGACAAAAACATTGCGGCGGTTTTCGCCTTCGTCATGAGCATGGATTATCGTATCCACAAGAACCTGATGTCATCAACATAACGCCGCTTGAAGTGTGTGTGACGAAGATAATTAGCCTGAGTGAAGTTTAAATAGCTTTTTTTCTGCATATATATTTATTCTTCCCATTCCTTCTGCTTCTCCCAGTTAGATTCAAGCGTGGGGGATTTCTAACCGCAATGGATTATTTTTTTTTTACGTTGGCCTATACCGTCAGTTTTTTCGTCCGGCTTAGAAGTGTCGAGTTCCCGTTACTTAACGGCAGATTCTTCTTCTCTACCCGGCGATTTTGAGTTGTCAAATGTTTGGTTTTATAAGCCGCATTAACTGCAACATCAGCCAGAACCCGTTAGCCGTTAACTGATACATTGTAGATATTTTACGCCCCCATTGACACAGTTTAGGTTCTTTAGACGGCTGGCTACATCGGCCTTGCCTGTCAGGGCCAGCTCAGACTAATTAATTCTCATGCATCCCAGCAGACAAGCAGACGTACCCGATTACTTATTTTTTTAAAATAATATTTTTTTAAATTAAAAATAAAACTTCTCGAGAATCGAACGCACTTCTGTTGCGTGCAACAGCATATAACTTTATAATTGGTCGCTTTTGAGCACAAGAGGGCTATCCAATTACACGTTAGATGCTGGTCCAGTAGGTTGATATGGTTGGTTACGATTTTGACCTCAAAATATTGAGTGGAAAAACTGCACGTATGTATTATGAAGTCCAGATGTTCCACTTTCTCATTCAAGTGCAGCGAGGAGTGTTTTATAGGAAGGAAGTGGAAAGGGAAAGCTGGAGTTGGATGGCAGGGAATTTAATTTTGGTAAGAGTTTTACGCACTTACAACACAATAAGGTCATATAAATGCCGAAAATTAGAGGTGTTACAAGAGGGTAACAAACATTAAGGAGATGGAGTACAATCGTACGAAATGTTTTCGAGAATTTGCAATCCTATTAGAGGGAACTTGTATCAAAATATCGCCATTGGGTGAATTCTTCCATCCTCTGGTGAGCTATCGTTAAAAAACAAACGATATTTCCGAGCGAACAAACGCAGTGACTGTAAAAAGGGCGGTGTAACCGGGCGGAATTTGCCTCAGTCGCCTCGATAAGCCTTTGTCAACAGTCTTTAAAGGAACATCACCCCGGTGGAAGCAGTTCGCACCTTCGGATCAAGGGAAGTAAGTGCAACTGGATTCAAAGGCTGCCTGGGCAATTAATTCGCGAATTCGCCTACGTCACTCACAGAGGGGTATTGTGTTTTAAGACGAGTTCAGGCTTTCGATTGTTTCGAGGGCCCGTCACTTACAGCAAGGCGACATATCACATTTGAAACCTCGTGAACTGATTTTGTGTGTGCCTGAACAAGTGTATTCAGGTCATGGCATAACGGCCACACTACTGATTGATCCAATAACATTTGTCTACATTCCAGGACAGGTTATGTGCAACAAATTCTTCTAACAAAAATTGGGTCGTTGTTTTTTTGTTTTTTAATTCACTTTATACTGAAGAGCGCGGCATTACTTTCACCCTGAAAAATACATGTTAAATACATGCATCTTGAATACTTAGGCTCAAACACTGTGAATACGTTTACGATGGCATGGCCGCCCGCAATTTGGAGTTATGGAACTTCGAAAAAGTTAAAAGTGTGAGTTATCAACAAAAAATTCCCTGCTTAAGCAGCTAAACTAATCTAGATCTAGGTAAGATCACTCGGAATCAAGTTATCTCGGCATGTGCTCACGCTCGAAACAGAAATCTACTTAGAAAGTGGACATAAGTAACAGACTACTTTCAGCGACCTGGCCTGTTGTTTGGATCCTTCAGAAGTTGGCAAGTTGGGGTGTTGTAACGCGAAGATATTTTTTATAAATAAAGTTTTTCCTACAATCCAGTGGTAAAAGTCGTTTCCGCTGATTTATTCACAAGCAAAGGTACTCTACCTGTGTAAGGTTATTGCTCTACTAATTCTGCTTTGGTAATACTTTAGATTGTAAAGCGTATGGAACTTGCATTTGTGCTATAGGACTGTTATTTATTATTTAGTATTATTACAATAGTCCGTTCATTGAATCATCACCACGTTTACGACACGATCCCTCAACAACAACTGGTTCGAATGTAACTAAGTTATGACCCATGCTTATGAGTACCAACGACATTATGAAAACGCTCTTTGAAAGCTAAAAACACGTGGCTAATGAAAACAATTCTCCTAAATACAACATATTATTTTGTGTTAACATTCTTATAACTCAAACGGAACAAGTCAAAAGTCAAACATTAGTACCTGGTACACTTGAGTTATCATGAGTAAACAATACTTGGTTTGGAGCCTTGAGTACCTGTGAGCAGCTGTGAATTTTATTTCGTGTGTAGTCCAGGTGGGGGATCGTTCAAGACTAAAGGGCTGCTGTAAAACACAATGAAACTGAAGTTGTGAAACATACTACTTACTTACTTACTACCCGTTATCCCATCTGGCGTTTTGGGCAGCAACACAGGATCTCCAGCTCTGTCTGTTTTGGGCCATCTTGGTCAACGTCCCCCACGAATGGTTCTATGACTTCATTTCTTCACTCTCTACTGTGTGTGAGACATAGTTGACTCTTAAATATTGTTCCTCGATGTATCAAACGCCAGAGCAGAGCAAGTTCCTTATCAAACCATGTCTCCAAAGAACAAGGATAAAGGTGTCAGGTCTGGGGCAGACATTGACGGTCGCGGCACACTATTTCGTCACGTTGTCAGTCGTCTTGAACACCTCATATTGTTTTAGTAGAGGTTCTTACTGCGCTCGCAACTGCATAAGGTCATATGAGCGGCAAGGGGTGAATGTGTCAACAGAGAAGTCTTTACAGGGAATCAGACTTACTCTGCTCATATCTCTAGCTTCAACAGCACAAAGTTCACTTCGACTCTCAAGGCACCCCGGAAAGAGCGGGTCACAGGAGTGTGACAAACATACAAAAGAAGTAGAGGAAAATGACGATAGTAAGGATTAGGAAAGAAAAAGCAGCACGTCCCTGTTGTAGTTCAGGCAGTTATGAGCATTACGTTGTTGGATCAGCCTATTTACAATTCTACTGTGCATTAGATCGAGAAATGTCCCCCCTTTGGGAATTGCCTAAAGACACTTCAGTTAATGGCACCGCCCCGGGGGGTGAACACCTCACAGTTTTCAGACTGTGGTGTTTGTCATAAAAAGAGATTGTTTATTTTATTAAATGTCGAAACATATTTATGAATAGACTATATCAATGCACACAAACATTCTGAAGGCGGAACATTGGTCCTAACAGTAACAGCCAGAGTAAAGAAGAAAGAGAACAGGGGTGAAACAAGACATAACATAACATGACTATCTAAGCATTCATGTGAATGAGTTCAGCCTTTCAGTATTTGATATGTACGTCGT